TGGCCTTATGACACACTTCCGGTGATGGCAGGGGGTGTGGCCTCATGACACACTTTCGGTGATGTCAGGGGGTGTGGCATATGCTAATGAGTTATGCTAATGAGTTCCCCTAGCTCTTTTTCTACGAAACGACCCCTGGCCACAGCTCACTTCTTCAGATACCAGGACAAAAGCTCCTACCCTGACACAAACTTTGTTGGTTTTTAAGGTGCTGCTGGACTGGACTCTTGCTCTTTTCTACTACCACCACCAGATTGATTAGGCTATCCCTGCAGCTACCCTCTCTGCTAAACATGAGGCTCAATACCATCAAATATAATCAACAAACACTGGCCTACCAACCAAATCTTACCATTTAGATTATGATCTGCCCCCAGTACATTCCATCCTGTTGGTAACTTCAGGTGACGGAAAGCCAAGGCCACTTTCTCATCGAGGAATTCCACATCTCCAGAGGGTGGTCTGGACCGGTCCAGGAACCTTGTGAAGTTCAGAGCTTGCTGGTTGCCCGCACAGGTTGCTAAGAATTGAGCAGCATCGTAAGCTTCATCCTGAACGAACTGGAAGCTGCCTTCAGCCACCACTAGAACAGGGAAGCCTTGCTTGGCAGCACACAGAGAAACTTTCACTGTCTCGCAGCAGTCATGGCCTGTGAAACAAGAATAAAACAGGGAAGCAATTAAGAGGGTGCATTTGCACAAATCTGTAACACCTTTGTTCTACAACCATGACCACTTTAGGGGTGACTGTTCCATCACTTCAGCGTCTATCAGCATGAGTACATTGCAACTTAGTTGTACGGTACCAGGGCTCTTTTTGTAGAAAAAGCCCAGCAGGAACTCATTAGCATAATAGGCCACACCCAACCGCAGAAACTCATTAGCATATTAGGCCACAACCCTGACAGCACAGCTCATTAGCACATTAGGCCGCACCCCCATGTTACCAGAAGGGTGGTTATCCAGCCACACCCACCTTTTGCCTCTTATTCTGTTTACCTTGTTTGTTTTCAAAACCCAGGGCCTTTTTTTGTAGCAGGAACCCCTTTGCATGTTAGGCCACACACCCCTAACGTAGCCAATCCTAATGAGTTTCTGCTGTTGGGTGTGGCCTGTTATGCTAATGAGTTCCTGCCGGGCGTGGCCAACTTGGGAGCCAGCCGGAACTCCGTTCCTGTGCGTTCCTGCCCAAAAATAGCCCTGGTTGTACCTTTTCCTTCCTATATCCACTTCCAGTCTGCTCTTTGGACCATGGGGAAAATGCTGTAGCTATTCCATACTCCTTTTTATTGAGATAGATCAGGGGTGACCAAACTGTGCTGGTACTCAGAAGCTGGTACTCAGTGCTGGTACTCAGGAGCTTCCACACATGCTATGTGGTTCCTGGCAGGGTGGCTGGGGAAGCGAAGGGGAGGCATGCCTCCCCAATCAGTCTTCCCTTCCCCAGCCAGTGTTCCCATCTCTGGGTAGGCTTCGGGGGTGGGGTGGAGCAGAGAAAGAAAGCAATCGCCCAGATTGCCTGGAGGTATGGGCTGGGTTATCGCCAATATGCAGATGACACCCAGCTCTATCTGATGTTGGGCGGCCAGGTGGCCTCCGACCCAGAAGATCTGAACCGGGGCTGTGGCTGGGTGGCTCAGGCTGAGCCGGCTGAAACTAAACCCTGCGAAGACGGAGGTCCTGTGCCTGAGCCGGAACGATCCGGGGTTGGGGCTCCCTCTCCCGACCTTCGATGGGGTGCCTCTGGTCCCATCGTCGGAGGTTAGAAGTTTGGGAGTGCTCCTGGATCCCTCCCTAACTATGGAGGCCCAGGTGGCTGCCAGATCTGCATTTTACCATCTTAGGCAGGTTCGGCAGTGTGTTCCCTTCCTCGACCGTGATGACCTGGCTACAGTGATCCATGCGACGGTCACCTCAAGGCTGGACTACTGTAACGCTCTCTACATGGGGCTGCCTTTGTTGCAGATCCGGAAGCTGCAGCTAGTGCAGAATGCGGCGGCCATGCTGTTGATGGGCCTCCCCAAGTGGGAGCACATGCGGCCTGGGTTGAAAGCGCTGCACTGGCTGCCAATAGCATACCGGATCCGCTTCAAAGTGCTGGTACTCACCTTTAAAGCCCTATATGGCCAGGGTCCGACTTACCTGAGGGACCGCCTTTCCCCACATATACCTCCAAGAAGTGTTCCCTCTAAACTGAGTTAGTGTGAGCTAGCTCACAGTTTTTTAGCCTCCAGCTCACACATTTTTGTCTGAGCTCAGGAAGGATGGCTCCAGAGCAAACTGATTTATGGAGTAGCCAAATTGCTCACTCACAACTTTAATGCTAGTAGCTCACAAAGTAGAATTTTTGCTCACAAGACTCCACAGCTTAGAGGGAACATTGCCTCCAAGAGCACTTCAGTCGGGGACCCAACACCGCCTGGTGATTCCAGGCCCCTGGGAGGCAAAGCTTGCTGCGACCAGGGCCAGATCCTTCTCAGTGGCGGCCCCTACCTGGTGGAACAAGCTCCCGGAGGAGATCAG